AGCAGATTTTCCTCAAATGAAATGTGATTTTGCTCTCTCAATTTCCCTACTTTGCAAGTTTTTTGCGTACGCGAACACAACAAGCTGATAATTTTTATAACTTTCAATAATTAACAGATACGCGAAAGCAACTAAATGTGAACGGTATTTTTACTTTACGAATTTCTTTGTAGAGTACAAAGACGCACCGTTATACGTTGTACCGAAAATTTAAAATATACGGCACGCAATTGTTTTCAACAGCGGATATTTTAAATCTGGTACTTGTTGCCGGAATTCAAGCAATGGCAAAGCTTCATGTTGCATTTCCAGTGCCTTATCTTCTTTTTACTCTTTCGACGTAGTTTAGCTTCAAAACTTAAAATAATTTGCGACAAATCATAAGCAGTTTTATTCCCCCTTGTAGAGACAAATTAAAGTTTTGCAAATGTTCCATCATATCGGTAAAGAACATTAAGTCAGAAAGCCAATTTCCATTCTTCAATTGCGGGTAATGTTCCGATCTCAATTTGTATGTGTATATAAAAAGAATAAAACAAAAAAACAACACAATGGAAAAAAGGCCATCAAAGAAATATGTATTTTAAAAAGTAAAAAGAGCAAAAATGTTCTAAGCAAGGAGAAAGTAAAACGAGCCGCACTTTGCTAAGCAAAGAGCCGCATTTGGCTCAAAGAGCCACCTTTGCCCACCGTTGGTATATAGATCTTTAATTAGATAATTGTTTAATAAATTTTACTATAGTAGAAGCTTGCAAAATTCGGAAAATCTCTTCCCGTATATACAATGTAAATAATTATGCTGTTGCATGTGTTGCGTTTGTTGACATGCATAAATTTGATGCATGATTTGATTTGAATTTATTCGGCTATTACTACGTTTATACGCACGTATTATTTGCAAATAACAATTTGCAAAATGGTAAACTTTGCCGTATCAACGCTGAGTTAATTTTGTATTTGCAAATAACTAAATCACGTAAATAAGTATTGATTAGTGGTACTATTTGCAAATAAGCGCAAGACGCTGCCATTCTTAGGTTAATTTTCTTTTTCGATGGTCATCTTATTATTCTTCTTCTTCTTTTTTGGCGCTGTAACCGCCTAAGCGATTTTGGCCGAGTTCAGCAAAGCACGCCAGTCGTTTCTCCTCTGTGCCAACTGACGCCAATTGGAAACGCCAAGTGAAGCCAAGTCCTTCTCCACCTGATCTTGCCATCGCAGTGGGGGCCTCCCTCCAGCGGGTTCCGAGTTGAATACTTTCAGAGCTGGAGCGTCGGTGTCCATTCGAACGACATGGCCGAGCCAGCGGAGCCGCTGTATTTTAATTCGCTGCACTATGTCCATGTCGTTGTAAAGCTCATACAGCTCATCGTTCCATCGTCTGCGGTACTCGCTGTCGCCAACGCGTAAAGGCCCGTAAATCTTCCGCAAAATCTTTCTCTCACACACTCCAAGAGCCTCCTCATCGGATGTTGTAATTGTCCATGCTTCTGCGCCATATACCAGCATGGGCATGATGAGTGATTTATAGAGCGTGGTTTTCGTACATCGAGATAGGACTTTACTCCTGACTTGCCTACTCAGACCAAAGTAGCACTTGTTGGCAAGAGTGATTCTGCGTTGGATTTCAATGCTGACATTATTATCGGTGTTAATGCTGGTTCCCAAGTAAACGAAATTCTCTACTTTCTCGAAATTGTAACTGTCAACAGTGACGTGGGTGCCAAGGGGCGAATATGCTGACTGTTTGTTTGATGACAGGAGATACTTCATCTTGTCCTCGTTTACCACCAGACCCATTCGCTTTGCTTCCCTATCCAACTTGGAAAAGGCAGAACAGACTTCGCGGTGTCATCGGCATAAGCCAGCAATTGCACGCCCTTGTAGTAAATTGTTCCTGAGCGGTTCAGTTCTGCAGCTCTTATTATCTTCTCCAACATCAGATTAAAAAAATCACATGAAAGGGAGTCGCCCTGTCTGAAACCCCGTTTTGTGGCGAACGGCTTGGAGAGGTCTTTCCCAATTCTGACGGAGCTGGTGGTATTGCTCAACGTCATTTTACACAGCCGTATGAGTTTTGAGGGGATGCCAAATTCAGACATAGCGGCGTACAGGCAACTCCTTTTAGTGCTGTCAAAAGCGGCGTTAAAGTCGGCAAATAGGTGGTGAGTGTCGATCCTTTTCTCGCGGGTCTTTTCCAAGATTTGGCGTATTGTGAATACCTGGTCTATGTTGGATTTGCCAGGTCTAAAGCCACACTGATAAGGCCCAATCAGTTCATTGACGGTGGGCTTCAGGCTTTCACACAATACGCTCGATAAGACCTTGTAACCTATGCTTAGAAGGCTGATCCCGCAATAGTTGACGGGAATGGCGGGGTCACCTTTCTTGTGGATTGGGCAGAGCACACTTAAATTTCAGTCGTCGGGCATGCGTTCATCTGACCATATTCTGACCAAGAGTTGATGCATGCACCTTATCAACTCCTCGCCGCGGTACTTGAATAGCTCAGCTGGCAGGCTGTCACCTCCAGCAGCTGTGTTGTTTTTCAGCTGCGCTATTGCTATACGTACCTCGTCATAGTCAGGCGGTGGAACATCGACTCCGTCATCAACTTTCCGTGCTGCTACCAGTTAGTAGGGCGGAAAAGAGTTCCCTCCATAACTTAAGTACGCTCTGTAAATCGGTTACTAGGTCGCCATTATTGTTCCTACAGAAGTACGCCCCGGTCTTGAAACCTTCCGTAAGTCGCCTAACTCTCCGGTAAAATTTTCGGGCATTCCTCCTGTCGGCCAGCATTTCAAGCTCTTCGCACTCACGTATTTCGGCCTCTCTCTTCTTATTGCGGCAAATACGTCTCGCTTCCCTCTTCAGATCCCTATAGCGGTCCCACATAGCGCGCGTTGCGCCCGATCGCAGCGTGGCCCTGTAGGCGGCATCTTTTTTCTCTGCAGCTTCCTGACACTCCTCATCGTACCAGTTGTTCTTTCGGGCTCGCTGAAATCCGACTACTTCTTCGGCGGCGGTACTTAATGAGCGGGAAATGTGGTTCCACTGCTCACATATGTCGGTTTGTTGAAGAGTCATCTTATTGCCTTTTAATAACCAAGACGTTGCCATTTTTAACTTTATTTTCCTTTTCGATGGTCATGTTATTGCCTTTTTATAATCAGGCAATATTAAAAAAGAATTTTTCACCATCGAATAAACAGTGAGTTAGGTATTTGCAAATTATTTTTATTTGCAAATAGCTTACGTATAAACGTAGTAAATGTCTTCATATATCACTTTCAAACATGTATAAGCGACATGATATAAATTCGCACTTGCATGATGTGTTACATCTCGCTATGTTTTGTAGTTCAGGCCTTTAGTATCTATATATATAATTGCTCGGTCATACGACTTAGTTAGGCCGATCTGTAGCAGCCACAGAATTGAGCTATATATCAAACTAAAGTGCAAGCTGCAGTTGCAGTTGACCGTGTTTGTCAAAAATCGATAGTGAGTAATATAGTATATTGAAAAATATTAACCATATTTCCGTGGTATTGAGATTCGGAAAAGTTATGAGGTATTATTCATAGTTTTGAAATATATTTCACGAAAGCAAAAAATAAAAATAGCTGAGATCCCTTTCTTTTTAAACACCTAGGATATCACTGACCATTAAGAGGACCCAGAATGACCGTAAACCTCAAAGCTTTACACATTTTTGTATGTGATTTTTTAAATGAACGATTCAAAACTAGCCGGTATACATATTTAAAATTTTTTAGAACCAGTGGTTGAATTTTTGTACTGAAAGGGTTAACCCTAAAAGTATAATCTACGTCTGCGAGGCGAATACAGAATGGGTCTTTTTTAATTGTAACACAAAATTTACTTTTTATTTTGTTGTTTTAAATAAATGCGGTTATAGGTTTTATTAATAAAATGATGTTTTATTATTAGTCAAACTCACAACTTCAATATTCTTTAAAAAAATAAGGCAGGACTAAGTATATTTTAGCTCACAGGTTATCTTTTAAGTACATAAGCCTCTACAGCGTATGTAAAGGCTTTACGTTACTCCCAAATAGATTAGGCTTCTAGGGTAAAGAAAGCTTTAGTGATATTAAATCGTGACTAGACACGTATAAAGGCTCGAGCTCAAAAGTTGACCGCGAAAAAAGGCGCATAAAAAAAACTTCAGAGAAGAAAGACTCTTAACATAGTTGACGGCGAAGAAAGACGCGTTAAAATATTTGACGGCCAAGAAGGACGCGTAAACTTATTTTCGCGGTCAACTATGTTTGCGGTTGTAATAGTATGTACATTCCGTTAATAGTTTTTGTGGAATAGTGCTGAAGTGACAGTCCTTCGCCAAGTATAAATCAACTAGGTTAGGCGTCTTTCCTCGCCGAAGTTTTTCTTAAGCACCTTTTTTTCGTAAAATTTTTGTATGCGTCTTTTTTCGCCGTCAAAACACTAGCGCGCCTTTATTCGTGTATAATGACGAAATGCTTTTCACCATAAACAGCGCCAACTTTCAATGATTATTGCGTTTCAGATTAAGACTAATACCAGTGTTCGCGCCTCTCACGTATATTCGCAATACACATCCACTCTCTCAGCTTTGTCATTTTAGTTAAGGTGTCTATGAGTTCAGTAATAAATGAACCAGCAAACATTAAGCACGCGTCGTTTTATTTTACTCCGCTACTGCCGCAACAGATGGTCCTTCAGACCGGATCTCGGTTATTAACGCAAATAAAAAAATCGCTTAACAACATAAAACTAATTGAATCGCAAATACTAAAGTGAATACGCAATTAACTAAATAAAGACTACAAAAACAATAAAACTAGAAGTGCACCTGCATTCGCTGCCGTGAAAGTGTGTGAATAAACTACTTACATTGAAACCTACAGCCAGTAAGGCAAAAGAGCACGTCAGGGAAACGGTCATTTTAAGGTCATATTCATTTCTTTGGTATACCGTTTTTGAAGTGAATTGAAATGTCTGTGAACAAAAGAGACTCAGCACGAAATGCAATTAAACGCTCTCTTGAACTCAGTAAAGCTGAAAGCGGAAAATACTCCAAACAGCAGCTGGAAGTATACATAGAGCTTTTACGTGAACAATGGGGCCGGTTTAATATTGCTCAAGAAATTGTGGAAGAGTCATGCGGAGCGAACGCCATAGAAGCAGAACAGTACGAAAGAGAACAGGGCGAACAATGGTATGCATCCGCAATGTCAAATTTCAAAGCAATGCTCGAAGCACAATCTTCTCTTAACACAACAACTGTAGGCGAAGTTTCACGCAGCACTTCTGTCATTCCAAACATCAAGCTTCCAGCATTTAATTTACCTCATTTTGAAGGAGATCCGACAACATGGCTCACATTTTTCGACAGTTTCAGTGCCATCGTACTAAAACACGAAACGCTGACTGGAAGTCAAAAATTGCACTATTTACGCTGCTGCTTGTCTAAAGAGCCGCTGCAACTAATCTCAAATTTCAAACTTCAAGATGCAAATTTCAGCGAAGCCTGGAATTTATTAACAACACGGTACAATATTCCGCGTGTTATTAAAGATCATCATTTCCGTGCTATTTTTTCGGTGCAAAAGGCAAACAGCGACACTCCTACTGCAATCAAAGGTGTACTAGACCCCATCATGCAAAATGTTCGTGCATTGAAAGCTTTGGCGCTGCCGGTTCAACATTGGGATGAATGGCTTATACACGTAATTGTGCATACGCTAGCAAACGAAACAAGACGACAATGGGAACTTTCACTTGGAGAACAACAAGAGGTAGATCTTAATATTTTGCAGGAATTTCTCGAAACTCGATGTCGCTCGCTAGAGGCAGCGTTGACGCATACTGGGCTTACGAAACAGACTGCAGCAAAACCCAAAAACAAAATCAATGCATATCACGCCACGCAAGGGGGTCAGACGGATTCCAAACGGTGTTTGTATTGTTCTGGTGAGCATAGAATTTATCAATGCCCTCAATTTCGTGAAATCCCGGTAACCACGCGAAAGGGCGTAATCCGAAATAAAAACGCTTGTACAAACTGTTTGAGCGAGATGCATAAAAGAGACAAGTGCCGAAGCGCATCAACGTGCAGAATATGCAGACATCGCCACCATACGCTACTTCATTATTCCGAAACCGGCACTACTTCGATGGATACTGCGAATTCACAATCATCCAAAAATAGTGACAATGCAAACATCACCTTACTTGCAAGGCATTCGTCGTACTCTGCCACTGCCGCACTAAGCGCACCAGAAGCAACCGCTTCGGACACACATTCTGACGCGACCTTTGGGCAAGCGGTTCTTCTCGCTACTGCCCAATTACGAGCATGTGACATCAACGGAAAGCAGCATGTTTTGCGCGCGCTTTTTGATTCAGGCTCAGACTCTTCATTTATAACTGAAGCATGTGTTCAAAGATTACAATTAGCTAAAAGGCGAAGTGAAGTCATTGTGTCCGGAATCGGATGCTCAAAGGGTAAGGTAAAGGGCGAAACATCATTGTTGTTGACGCCAATGGAGGGCACCGAAACATTCCCTCTATCTGCTCTCGTGTTGACAAAGCTTACAGAATCTTTGCCCGCGGCGAAAATACACTCCTCCAAATGGCCGCACATTGAAGGCTTAAAATTAGCTGATCCGCAGTATTACCTGCCAGCTCGCATAGACTTAGTTATAGGGTCTGATGAAATGTATTCGCTATTGGAAACAGAGGTTATAAAGGGCCCGCCTAATACTCCGATCGCGCAGAAGACAGTTTTTGGCTGGGTGCTGTTCGGCAAGCTAACTACCTTAGATAAATCGAACAATACATCTCCTTGCTTATATTCAGATAGCGACTTAACAAAGGCAGTGATAAAGGCGTGGACACTTGATGAATTACCGGAGACTCGTTACTTTACGACAGAAGAGACAAGATGTGAAAATCTATTCGAAACAACTCACCGACGAAACACGCAAGGGCGCTTTATCGTGCATTTCCCATTTAGGGAAAATATTAAATTAGGTGACTCACGGGCTATAGCGGTACAATGCTGGTTAAGAATGGAAAGAAGGCTTGAGCTAAATAACGAGCATCGAGAACAATATCATGCATTCTTGCAAGATATGTTGGATCAGGGTCATATGGAGCCGGTAAGTAACGTGCCTTCATCAAATTACTATATGCCACATCACAGCGTTATCAAAGAGTCGAGCTGCACAACGAAAACGCGTATCGTTTTCAACGCTTCGCAAAAAACTACAAACGGCCTGTCGCTTAATGATAATTTGATGATCGGGCCGCAACTTCAGGAAGACTTAGTTTCTATTTTAAACCGCTTTCAAATTCACAAGTACGCCTTAACCGCTGACATCAGCGGTATGTATCGTCAGGTAATGGTCGCTGAAGAACACGTCGATTATCAACGAGTCATATGGCGCAGAAGCAAACATGAGCCCTTACAAGATTTTCGTATATTAAGGGTTACTTATGGTATTGCCTCTAGCTCTCATCTCGCAATCAAAGCGCTGCAGCAGACAGCCAAAGAAGCCGCTACATGCTACCCCCTCGCATCTTCCGTCATCCTCCGAGATTTTTATATGGACGACTTGTTAACCGGTAGCTCATCCGAAACAAGCCTCAATAGTCTGCGCAAGGAAATATCCCGAATACTTGGAAATGGTTGCTTTGAACTGCGGAAGTGGGCATCAAACTCGCCATTCGTCATCCGCAATATTCCTCTCGATGCAAGAGAGCACAATATATCTCATTTGCTTGCTGACGACGATACAGTACGCGCTTTAGGACTAATGTGGAATTCCACGGATGACTACTTATACTTCGACATCAAATTGGGGTCCCCACCGAAAAATCTCACCAAGAGATCGCTTTTGTCAGATTCCTGTCGATTATTCGATCCTACAGGGAAGCTGGCTCCAATCACCTTGGTCCCCAAAACGTTATTCCAACGACTCTGGCAACTTGGCTTAGACTGGGATGATGCAGTACCAGAAGACATCGCCGCTTGCTGGCTGAATCATCGCGAGAATTTAAAATTACTTTCTGGACTCAAAATCCAAAGATGGCTTGGAACCGGAATGGAAGGTTCAAAGACAGATCTGCACTGCTTCGCAGACGCTTCAGAGCAGGCTTACGCTGGTGTAGTATACGCTCGGACACGACATGCTGACGGCTCAATAACTGTAGCTATGGTAAGTGCAAAAACAAAGGTCTCGCCTCTCCGTTCTATTTCCATAGCTAAGCTCGAGTTGTGCGCCGCCGTTCTGGTCTCAAAACTCGCACATCACGTTCAACAATCGTTAGCTGGACTGGTATCCAAGATATATGGATGGACGGATTCTATGAACGCATTGGCCTGGTTACAAAGCCACCCCAGCCGCTGGTCTGTATTTGTAGCGAACCGAGTCGCAACAGCACAATCGAATATAGCATCGGAAGATTGGTCCCATGTGTGTACAACCGATAATCCAGCTGATTGCGCATCAAGAGGTATGCAACCTGCGCAATTTATCCAGCATAAATTATGGTGGAATGGGCCTCCCTGGTTGTCGCAGGATGATAAATACTGGCCTAACTCACCATCAATACCACCGACAGAGTTGGAACTGCGTCCAAAGCGAACCCTGACTCACACCGCTTCTATTGGCGCTGCTAGCTTCATAGCGCGAGATATGCTCGCTAGGTTTTCGTCGTTTTTACGTTTGAAACGCATTACAGCTTATTGGTTGCGATATATACGCAATTTGCGAGAAAAGCAAAGGCAAGGAGGTCCGTTAACATACGCAGAGTTACGTGCCGCCGAAGAATACTGGATACGTCAGGTGCAAAGGGAAGCATTCAACGAAGAAATCTGGTGTTGCCAACACTCTAAACCTATCTCGCTTCGCAGCTCACTAATTCGGCTCAACGTATTCCTCGACAACAACAACATATTAAGGGCGGGTAGTAGGATTCGTCGCTCCGCTGTATCGCCAGACATCAAGTTTCCTATCGTCTTACCGTCAAGGTCCAGCATCGTTATCATGATAATTAATGACCTTCACAAAAGCCTCTTGCACGGTGGACCACAACTTATGCAGACCGTACTACAACGTCGGTTTTGGGTAATGGGCGCACGAGGATTGGTTCGAAAAATCTTTCATAATTGTACTACGTGTCGACGTCAAGGTGCTATTCGACAGCAACAGATGATGGCCGACCTACCAAGCTTTAGGGTTAACTACGCAGGCCGACCATTCTCTGTCACCGGCGTAGATATGGCTGGCCCATTTAGCGTAAAATTCTCCAAAGGACGCGGGTCAAAGTCTACCAAGGGCTATATAGCTGTTTTTATTTGCATGGCGACTGGCGCTATGCATCTGGAATTAGCGAGTAACTTATCCTCAGAGACCTTCATCAGTGTTATTAAAAGATTTGCCTCACGTCGAGGTTATTGCCGTACATACGTATCTGACAACGGAACTAATTTTGTGGGTGCTGAGAAAGATCTACGGACAGTATTTCAACAGGCGATGAACGATCCGAACCTCCAGCATTTTTTTTGCGAACTCTAGCATAGATTGGCAGTTTAATCCCCCAAGCGGTCCTCATATGGGCGGTTTTTGGGAGTCTGCTGTTAAGCGTGTAAAGTTCCACCTTCGGCGAGCTCTCAAATCGACCTTGTTGACGTACGAAGAGTTTTATACCCTGATCACCGAAGTAGAGGCTTGCGTCAACTCACGCCCTTTGTGCCCGCTCTCGAGTTCTTCGTCCGACCTGGAAACATTGACTCCTGATCACTTTTTGATTGGCGAGCCCCTCAAAGCATTACCCGAACCTACAATGCTCGATTTTAAGGGTAATATAAATCAACGATGGCAGCTTATATCCGCCGTACGTAACCATTTTTGGCGTCGCTGGCAGCTAGAATACCTTTCAACACTGCAAACTAGAGCTAAATGGGTGCGTCCGAAGAAAAACATACGAGAAGGGGACTTGGTCGTGGTGAGGGACGAACGTATTCCTCCTGCGAATTGGAAGCTAGCTCGTGTCGTCAAATGCCATCCTGGACAAGATGGTTATACAAGAGTAGTAGATATCAAAACTGCCGAAGGCCTGTTGACTAGGCCCATCGTAAAGCTTGTACCTATTTTATCAGATGATGAAAAGTCTCAGTAGTATATACTCATATTTTATGCATCACATAAGTTGTACACTTTATTTTATTTTTCTTTTTCACAATTTTGTAATTTAATAATGTACAAATTATTGAACTACTCATTTAAGGATGAATAGTCCAAGGAGGCCGGTATGTTCGCGCCTCTCACGTATATTCGCAATACACATCCACTCTCTCAGCTTTGTCATTTTAGTTAAGGTGTCTATGAGTTCAGTAATAAATGAACCAGCAAACATTAAGCACGCGTCGTTTTATTTTACTCCGCTACTGCCGCAACAACCAGATATTGTGAAAGGTTGGACTATATCTTAAAGATGACGGTTTTCTCATGGCCCACTGCACGAAGCTTAGAGTAGAGTAATGTATTTTAAGAACTTTAAAATTATCCTGGGTTATTAGGTGTCTGACAATACAAGATTAATTTTTGTCTTTCACGAAGTTCTTTAAATAAATTTTGAGCTAAGTACTCACCCGTCTTTCGAGGTTACTACTAGTTTTAATAAATTGTTAGTTTAATTTCCTATAAAATTTACCTTTAGGTTTATGCATTTTAAGAATACATCGAAAATTTGTCTTAGAGAATCAATGTGAAATAATTGCAGAAAAGATTAACCGGTTTGCTGAGCAACCGATACGTCTGCTTTTTAAATAATTTTTGTAAAACAAATTGGCAAATACATATCGAACCCCGCATGCCAGAAACATGAATGCGTAAAGATAAAAATTTTGTGATTTTTTTTATATGTCTATTCTAAGGGGAAAACTCGGAAAAATCCGGAAGAACGCGAAAAATTTGGATCTTTTTTCGACGAAAGCTTAGAAAATTTCAGATAATTGTGAAATTCATTGGGAGCATGAATCAATTGGGAACAATTTTCTCCTATGTTTCATAACCGATTCGAATGGGTGCTGCTTTTTTGGAAAGGTGTTTAGAAGGAGTGCACAAAGTTTTAATTTATCCGATAAGTGGCGCAGGGGTCGAGATATGCTAAAAAAAAATGCATTTCGTTTGTTGGTAGCCTTTTGCCTAGATAAACTTATAGGATCCAGTTTTTCCGTTAAGTGGGCCAGGGACCGATATATTCGAAAAAGTCTTATTTATGGTTCGATTTACTTGAAATCTGGCACGTAGGTTGCTTATTGGCCGAGGTAACATATAGGATATTTTTTCTGATAGGTGGATTAGATATGGTCCGATTTGCCTGAAATTCGATACCCGTAGAATATGCATAGAATAGAATCGAGTCATTGGTTTACAGTTCGAAAGGTGTTTGACGGCGGCGCAAACCTGCTGGTATTGGCTGTTTAACAAAACTTATTACACAGGCCAGCAAAAATGGGGAAAAATTTTATGCAGCAAATGCTAACGCTATTTCTGCCGAATTTTTGTGTGCTGATTACGAATCCGTAAGCATAAAGTTTCCATCAGCTCCAGATTTTAAGAAAAACGAGGTCAAAGTGTCAAAAAATCGCGTCTTTTTCAATATTTTAGAAGTTCTAGCAAAGAGGCAAAGGGTGGTTCCACTTTGGCTTTAATTAAAGCTGAAAATTTCGAATATTATCCTTGCAAATTCCTGTTGCCCTGTGTTACCTACACTAATTATATAAAGAGAAGCTCCTTCTTTTTATAAGAGGTGATCTCGCGAACGGCTGTACCGATTTTTTGAAATTTTGGACACCTCCTGTAGACTTTCGTAATATTAAGGAATCGTGGCATCACCCATACATATCGAATTTTTCATACTGTATATCTCTGGAAGTGTTTGTGGTAGTGTCCTGGAAATTAGTATAGAGATTTTGGTGCTACTGGAAAAGGGTGCGTGGTGCTTTCCAAACATATTGAAACTTTTACCTATCGGTAAATATATACACCCAGAATACAGTGTTTTTTTCTTTTTCATAATATATTTTTTTGTTAATTTTTTATAGAAATATAGTTCAATGTGCATCAAATGGCACCAAATTTTGAGTATGCAGTTTTGTAACTCACTCAATTTCAGTATTACAAAGTGCAAGTTTTGAATGGCTATAAGTTACCGTTGATTTTTGAGAATTTTGTCATTATTATGTTGCGAATTTTCTCCGTATAACGAATGCGTAATAGTTTTTTTGTATGGGAAAAAATGCCGAAGAGTTTCAGTATGTAAAAGACCTAATGATAATTTTAGTGGCGCCGGAGCTAAGTTATTGCTAAAAATCGTCGATTCGGAGGCACCGGGGACCAAAGTCAGCTACTTTGGACTGAGTAGGAAATTTAGGAGTAAAGTCCTCTCCCGACGTACGAAAACCTCACTCTATAAGTCACTCATCATGACCGTGCTGGTATGGCGCAGAAGTATGGACAACGACAACATCCGATGAGGCGGCTATTGGAGTATTCGAGAGAAAGATTTTGCGGAAGATTTACGGGCAATTACACGTTGGCGACGGCGAGTACCGCAGACGATGGAACGATGAGCTGTATGAGATTTACAACGACATGGACATAGTGCAGCGAATTAAAATACAGCGGCTCCCCTGGCTTGGCCATGTCATTCGAATGGACACCGACGCTCCAGCTCCGAAAGGATTCAACTCGGAACCCGCTGGTGGGAGCAAGGAAGAGGGAGGCCCCCACAGAGATGGAAATACCAGGTGGAGAAGGACTTGGTGTCACTTGGCATTTCCAATTGGCGTCAGTTGGCACAGAAAAGAAATGAATGGCGTGCTTTGTTGAACTCGGTCAAAATCGCTTAGGCGGTTATAGCGCCAAATAAGAAGAAGAAGAAGCTTTAAGGGGGGAGGGGAGCTTTGTTTGCACTAATGGTGTATGCAGGCTTAATAGATTGAGCGTATACATATACATAATACAAATGTATGTATGTTAGTGTCCGACCGAAGGTTCGGCCTAGCTTCGGTATTCGGCTTATTGGGCTGATATTTATCTTCGGCCTCGGCTTCCGAACAATTAGGCAATTCACAAGGTGTTGTATTTGTCGTGAAGTTACATTTCACGACAGTAGTTAAAATTTTGTTGTTGTTTCGCATCTCTAGAATTGCTATAGAAATGTAAAATAGTGGGCCATTTTCATAGAAGTGAATCAGCCAGCAGATATTTGAAATCCTATTAGTAATTATTACATTTAGCTACACATAAATTAATACAAGATCTTCCACCTAAATAGATGGAATAGTTCCTTTACCATTTTGGAAAGGCTCTTAGAGCAAAAATCATCGATAAATATGTTTTCGGTTGAGAGTTGTTCTAGAAATACACTGACTGCGGATGAGTGGGCGTACATAACTAAAGTTTTACCTATTTTGAAATTATTTTCTGACGCGACACTAAGGCTGGCATAATACTGAACCCATCGACCAGGACACTTATTCCCTATAAATACCGTTTCTTTGGTTCTGGCTTTGCATTATTTTGAAGTTGTTTCTGATATTATAAGCAATGTTGTTTTGTGGCACAATCCGTAGAGCTGAATGATTGATGATGATGAAACGCTGAAGCTCTGATTTTTTTAAATCATAAAAGAACCAATATCTCTTGACAGTGACGTAACTTGGAAAAATGTTTGGCGCTTTTAACGTGGTCTTGAATGTTTTCCTTACCACCATTAACAAATTTCCACACATGTACAATACACAATGCACCTCATGCTCATTTTTGCCATTTTGTATGTATATGGGCAAATCTAAAAAATAGGTACACACTCCAAAAAAATAATAATTTTTAAATTTGTGAGCACACCTATGTTTTATATATCATTTTATTCGTAATCTCTTAATAAATCTATTAATAT